ACAAAAGCTCCAGGATAGATCGCACTGCCGGAAGCACTGCGCAAGTCTGTAAGTTTGGGAATCAGAAAGTCGGCCAGGTACACGAGTGCAAACGACACAACAGCACATTGCCATTCTTCACACAGATCGCAACCCTCCGAAAATCGACCCCTAGCTGCATCAATCTGATCTGGCTTTTCTTGAACCCAAAGGCCTCAGCGGTTGCTCCACATGTGTAGCACCTCTGGGTCGCCGCTACCCTGCTCCTCTTCGAGCGCAATGAGGAGCGCATGCTCAGGGCGTCATCGTCCTCGCGGCTCTCACGTCGAGGAGTAGGGGCCGCTTTCTCCTGGCGATAAAATCATCTTTGTTATTCGTTTTTCCTACAGTCCTACTGATTTCGTCTGGAATACAGTCTCGGAGCTTAGGGCCAGGATTTCTGGACACTCCTTCAGAATTGCTTCATGATCTGCTTCGGGTTTACGTAAATGGTACGAGTAAGGCGGGTAAGGTAAGGTTTAGGGCCGTTTAGGGCTGGGGATCAGGGATGGGCAAGCAGAACTTTTATGCTTTGAAGTTGAACTCTTCAGGATTGTAAAGCCTTCGCTCTAGTCAGTCTCTGGACTCAACCGGCTCAACTCTTTCATAGCCAGGAAAACCCATGGGCAAATCACAGACGGCAAAAACATAGAAAGAAACCTCTGGCGAAGCCCTGCCTGTCTAGGCTAGGACCGGCTAGGCTACACCAGGCTAGAGCACTAGGCACCGGCACTACATATAAACTTTGCGACTGTTACTGATTATCCGTGATCCTTGGCTTGACGCTTGCCGCCCATGATGTCGGATCGCGGTGGCCTCAGCTACCTGCAGGCCTCGAGTTGTGAACCAAAAGCCGCTGTTTCCACGACAGCACTTGAATCACAACTGCACCTCTGGATGGGAGCTATGCAAAGCTGGCCGACCAAAAAACACTTTCGACAGTGGGGGCGAATTTCTTTCTGGTTCCTTCGCACACCTTGGTCTTTGTTACATCCCACAGTCCTCCAGAATGCACGCCGCCGGCACCGAATTGAAACGTGCCGAGAATCAAGGAATCTAGGCCATCTATACTGTACTATACTGTACTCAGACTGGATCTATGCCATGCACTGCGATCTTGCACCTGTCTGTAACCCTGCTCAGACTGTCCAAAGCAGCTGAAGGCAGTGCATGATACAGACAGTGAGCTAGCTGGCACCTAGCTGCTAGCTGTTCGTCGGCGGTTCCAATGCTTTCTAAGGATATCTGCCGCAGACATGCAGTGCTGTGGTCATACGTTCCCATCTGGAACCTGCAGTTCCTGCAACAGACATCCTGTGGCATTGCAAAAAACAACGACATAGCTGACATAGTCGCTAAGCAAATCTGGAGCGACGTCGGAAACTACAATGCAAGGCTGCAGATGAAGCAACCGTCAGCAGTAAGCAAAGGTTGCTGCTGGCATACTGGCATGCTGCAGGAGAAAGCACCTGTACCGGGTACTGTACCGACTTTTGCCTTACTATCTCAGCATGTATGACTTTCGTAGTGACCTAGTGACAATGAAGCAGAACTGCTTAGAAGTGTATATGAGAATCTGGGAATAGTGAACCCCGACAATGGCAACACACACTTTCTGCTATCACCCAACATATTCCTGCACGCAGCCAATAGCAGCCGATAGCAATGACTCAGAAGTTGAAAGTTGAAGCGTAAGAACTAGAATAAACTAGAGTATCTCGAACCGGCATGTCAACCCGGAGTCGAGCGCAGCAAAGCCAAAATGGCTCGACAGGGGATCCCGTCACTCAGGGAATCGTTTGCACAAGTACAAGCACCAAACCACTGCTGCCAGGCATGGCAATGCCATGCCCTCACCAGCAAGCTGTGCGATGTGGCTTTGGGGCATGTCAACAGGAAGGCTCAATGTGCGGGAATGGCCATGAATCATGAGGAGCTCCCGGCCCACGAGCACGGAGTCGCGGTCGTAGGAGTACACAATGCTCGAAGTGGTGAGGGCACGATGGGTGCCGTGCTTGTTGGTGTGGTTGTGCCTGTTGTGGCTGTAGGCCTGGGAAACATCTAGGCACTGACCAGCCATAACTTCCCTCAGATCCACTGTCATATTGTGAATGTCGTGGCCATCGTCTATGCATTTCTGCATCACGAACAAGTCAATAGCCTCCAACATGCGAGCACTTTTAGGAACACCACTTCCCTTGAACCCTGCACGGCCAGTCCACGGCCGAAAGTCCTGGGCCACCCTGAGCTCTTGCCGGAGCTCCCGGCTCTCTTTCTGCCAGGCAGGCTCGCCAGGCCCGTTCTCGCACGCCCGGAACTCCTGGGCTTCTGAAAACAAACAGCTCGCTTCAGCGAATAGTCATGTTGGGTTAAGGAGCTGAGAAAAAGTTCCCGGAACACCTAGCCAAGGCCTTAGTCCTAAGTCAAGCCTACTCACTACTCAATGGCTGCCTAGCCGGGCCCCCGCCTGGCCAGCCTTCGACAATCAAGCACGACAGAAGCAACATCTAGAATAGCTATGGGACCATAGGACCTATAGACTATAGACCTAGATTGTCAGAGACCTGGTTTTTGTCTTGAATTCAAGAGCTTCGGTTTCTGGACAGACGATATGATTATGGCAGACTGTACGTTCTTCTCCATGTGGGGGTTGGGAAATTTAATATACCAAGGTCTAGAGTCTACAGTCTACAGTGTTTCACTTGGAAGAATGAGATGTTGTGCACAGACACTTCTTGCGCCGGCAAGGATGCCCGTGGCACATGCTGACTGAGCTGGAAGGGATTTGCGGGAAATGTGGGACCTGAAAACACGAGCTGCCGCAGCTGACAACGACAGACCGGCTTCAGTCACTAGTGTCACGAGTGATTTGAAGTTTGGTCATGGGATGTGTCAACATCATTTCAGAGCGTTTCAGACGTGATTGCTAGTAAACGTAACCATACATAGGGCACTGCAAGTTGTGACCCGGACTCTCTCCCATTCTTCTCAACCCGCATCTAGTGCCCCTGCTCCGTTTTGTTGGCATCCCTTTTTTTTTCCTTTTTTTTTCCGCTTTATTTTTTGGCCTCCAATTTGGTTGCTTTTTCCGTCCCATTTTCCGTGGAATTTTTGGTCGCAGTTCATACGTTACTTTTTGCTTTTTTTCCTATTTTCTTCAACAGCCACCCCTTTGTTCACCCTTTTTATTCGTGCCTCATTGGCCGTGCCCTGTGCCTTTTTTTTCCGTTTTGCCTCCGTTTTTTACTGGTTTGGATCCTTTTTTTTCCTTTTTTTCCTTTTTTTTTGCTTTTTTCCTGGATTTGTAGGTTTTCTGTATTTTATTAGGTTTTTAATTAAAACTAGTATAAAATTAGGAAAAAAATAGGAAAAAATTAGGAAAAAATTAGGAAAAAATAGGACAAAATTAGAGAATTGGGCCCCCCAAAGAGGCCCAGAAAAAGAAAAGAAACCGCCAACCAAAAGGAGAATAAAAGGGAAAAAATGCGTTTGGAAAGAAGTAAAAAAGGAAAAATATTGGAAATCAGACCAGCCAAAAAACCATCAGAATTAGGCACCAAAAAAGGACCCAAAAAAGAAGCCTCGCATACGACCCAGAAAAAAAAGGAACAACAAACCAACCAAAAATGGAGCCCAACACGACCCGACCACCAAAGAGCAACGAACCAAGACAGAACCGAACGTTTCAGGCCCAGGAGACAAGCCTAATAATAATCAAGAGCAGCCACCAGGAGAAGAAGCAAAACATCATCAATTTCCAACCAAGCCCTTTAACTCTGTCAGGAACCAGACTGCAGCTCTGAAGGCGAAGGCTTGCGGCTCACGAATAATCAAACTTGACCTGGAATCTACTGGCACAAACAACACTCCATCAATACAAGAGTCTCTCTTGTCCAGCTCCTCCAAAGCATCGAGCCTTTCCGCACTATCAAGAGGCAGAAGAAGCTTGTCCAACTTCATGCGAGAAGTCTGGCGCAACTTGGTCACGAACTCCTGCTGGTTGCATTACAATCATGACAATGTTACAAGCGCGGCTTCGACAAAGCTCACGTACTTCAGGTGCTGTGTCGGAGACTTGCAGCAAAGCACGAGAGCGGAACTACATTCTGGATTTACGCAGGTTCTGCTGCAAGACAATCGAAACTCGCATCAGTCATGAAGCCGCACCCTGTTTGCAACCTCCTCCTGCTAAACCTTTATATTTAAGACTTAAGACTTCATGAACAAATGATCGATTACGACTTGGGTCCGCCCACCGCACTCGACAAAGAAAGCAAACGCATACACTGGCATGCACTGACATAGAAACATGGAACTGTCCATGTAGCAGGCTTCCAACTTCGCAGCATCACGCCGGGTGTAGAATGTCTTGTGCAAGAAGACAATGTAGATCCTGCCCAGGTGGATGTCGGTAAACCGTGCTGGCTCCGGATCGGGTTTGGGAGTTG